TTTGTGGTAGATGTTATCAAAAATCGCACTAATTTGAACAAATATTCAAACATTTGCAGGATGTTATCTGGTTCTCTTTCAAGTATTTCTAATATTTTTTAAAGAATTTTATTCACTTGAATAATTAATTCCCATTACTGAAAACGAATTGCATCACATACAAAAGATGTCACTGTTACAAAATAACAGAGCAGCAAGTAAGGACATTGTTTTAATAAATATACAGTATGTATATTTAAAATGTTTACTTATAGAATCACGTTTTCAGCAAATCCAGATATATGTAGATAGGTATTTATTTTTTAAGAAAACTAGAGCAATTCCAAGACACGCTATTTGGCCACAAACCTTGTCCGCTGGTGGAGGTACCTGGTTAGGGAAAACCCCACTAGCCAACGGTAGGTCGGCACCGGATCTCACCATACAGTCCACTGCCACCTCCGGTGAAAATCATGCACTACACTTAAGGGACAAATTACCCTGTTAGTTGACGTGCCCGGAATCGCTAAATCAATCAATGAGCTTAATTACGTCATTAAAATTTATTCAAACCGATGAATTGAAATAGAGGTTTATGTATTTTAATTATTATTATTATTATTATTATTATTATTATTATTATTATTATTACAATTATTACAATTATTGTTATACCCATAAAAAGAAATGCATGTCTCAGAACATGTAGATCGCTGTATCCCCTTTGCAAAACGTATCACTTGAGCCAAACAATCACATTATACGGGTTTCTCACTCAATGTGGTAGCCTATGTTGCCAGTGGCCTCCTCTCGTACCCTAGACACGCACTGGGTGAGGTGGCTCAGAGCATCAATTGATGTCATTGCAGTGCCACTGACCGGAAGGTTCTGGGGTTCGTGTCCCGATGGTGGCACCATTTTCTACACTAGGCAGATGGCTGGGTCGAGATCTGTCGCTGGAGGAGAATTGTAGTGGTCGGCTGCTCTGATGTGTAGTTTTCCTACCAACACCATGCGAATGCTGGAACAGTACCCTGGCAAAGGGACCACGGACCGCATGCGATCTTCTCTTTTCATTCCTTGACCTATTCTACCCCTTACTTACACACACACTTACACACACACCCGTACATACACCGTTACACACACACACACACACTTGCAAGCACTATACGAATACTACCACACATGCCGGGAAACCGGTCAGAAGCTTAGAGCTTGTCCGACGGTAGGTCGGAGCTGGATTTCTTCCAGTGGGCCAAGATCACCCAAGGGACTAATTACCCAAGCCATTGACGCGCCCTGAATCATTAGTAATCAATCAATCGGAGTTATAAGAGGTACATCCAAGAATAGTCTTATTTATAATACAAGGCAAGAATGTGTATGTGTCCATTACTAGGCGGGCGAGTTTCCGGATGAGGCCGATAGATCGAGACAAAGAATTCCGCCATGCTATGCAAACAAACGTTTGTTGAGTGATGTTCATTATTTTAGTTGAGACCTCAATTTTATGACAATTTGTCCGTGTTATATAAAAATGTAATTGCCGATCACGAGAACACACCATTTGTATCTTGTCTTTCCTGGGATGGTACATTTTTTTGTACTTTCAGTAACAGTACAGAAAGTATTTTTCCTTACGTTTCCGTGGTAGTTGAAAAATGTTGAACTTTCATGTTTGAATAGTGTGTAACTTTCGTACCAGTTTCTCGACGGTCTATGTTAACGATAATATCCTATAATGGAAAGGAGGCTATTTCCTTATTACTCATTTCTTGTTAATTATGTATTTGTAGATTACTCCTTGCAGGTAATTAATTACGTAATAAAAATAATTTCCAGAATTAAAAATAGTTTGAAATGTTGGTAACATTTGCATACGCAAATGCATTATATGCATATTAATGCATAAAACAAATGCATTAATATATTTTTACTTTATTTTACTTTATTGTAAGAATTCAACAAAGCTGAAAAAACCCACGTGTTCCGCCTACGAAGGTAAATGTGTTTCGACATCACCACTTTTAATTTTTGCTATGCGGTTATGTACCCATTTAATTTTTCACACTAGGCCTCTGCCTGTCACTTTCATGGAGAGAGTTATGATCTGTGTCTAACCACATCAAAGCGGCAAATATTATTAGGTGTTTTATTAATATTAAAATGTGTAGTTGTTTACTTTCAGTGAGTGAAATCACCAGATGGCAATACAGTAACTGTCACTGAACAGAATTATCTCTATTTTCGCAGGTGACGCTTGTTTTCCTGCTGAGGGAAGAATGCGCGGCACGTCCGGTCGACAAAGCGGATAATCCTGACACTGAAAGAAGCACTGAGGGCAGCGCAAAAGATGAGCAGAATAGTGACAAGCAAAGTTTCGTCGCAGCTCAACAGACAGCGGCAGTGATGGAAGAACAACCAGCCCTCGCCGCAGTGCAATCTCCTGTTAATATGGTCAGCCTCTCCTCCGAACTCGACAGGAAGCAGGTGGATGGGGACATGGGTCTGCTAACACCTGCATCAGATCAGACCCAAAATCGAGTAGCGAGGAATGTCATGGGTGGATTTATACAAGGAATGAATCAAGGGGCTAACGTTGCTACCGGTATGATGACACAAGGCACTCAGATGGCAGGTCAAATGGCAGGTGTTGGTGCCGACATGATGCAACAAAGCGCTCAGGCGGCCGCTGGTGTGGCATCAGCAGGTGTAGATGCCATGCAAAACGCAGCTAATACAGCTATAGGTGCTGGAACCCAGATGATGAATGTAGGAACTCAAGCAGCTACAAATATGGCTCAAACGGCTGCTAATATGGCAAACACGGGTACTCAGGTGTTTCAAAATATGGCCCAAACGGCTGCCAATATGGCAAATATGGGTTCTCAGGTGTTTCAAAATATGGCCAAACAGGCTGCTGATGCGGCCACTCAGGGGATAAACATGGCTGCAGGTATTGCTAATCAGGGGGCAAACATGGCTGCAGGTATAGCTACTCAGGGGGCAAACATGGCTGCAGGTATGGCTTCTCAGGGAGCAAACATGGCTGCAGGGATGGCTTCTCAGGGAGGAAACATAGCGGGTCAAGCCGCTAACGCGTTTGGTCAAATGGCAACTGCGGGAGCCAAAATGTTTGGGTAAAAGTTGAAAACCTCACCTGGTTATGGATACATATTTTTTATTAACCATCTTATTTTCTTCTTATTGCCCTGATGCAACAGGTAATTAAAATTTCAATATAAATCTAGATATAATCCACATTGCAGTTATTCTCTTTCATTTCGGAAAAAGCAATACATTTTTCCGCTTAAAACGCATAAATATGTGATTAGCTACAAAGGAATCTTCCCTCCGAGGTACAAATAGTATAATGTCTTACATTAATAAACTCTAAATGTACATACGTATCAGTTCCCTGTGAATAATTATCAAATAAATAGCTCCAATAAAAATGTGTTGTATTCATTTAACAACATTTAATACTAGTACATTCGAATGCAATTCCTTTAAAGCAAGATTCATTCAAAAAATATTACTCTACATACTAAATTTAGATGTACTTAATATCGCAGAACATATTTATATGAAAATATATTTTCAAGAATAAAATGTACAAACTTTCAATGCATATTTATGCTAGATACATATTATTTTAAACAATTTTAATGATGTGAGCACTAATTTAAAATATCATGTAAATGAAATACTATTTCTGAAAATAAATCACATTTTTTTCTGAGGATTGAGATTGATTAATCAGAAAGAGAACAGCGAATAAATTCGCACTTTACTTGGACATGCTGGTGTGTAGTAGAATGTCATTTTGGTATTTTATTCATTACATTATTACTTTGCAGCATTGTTATTTTCGTAAAATTGTTCGTTTTGGGTGCAAAGAGCGTCTGACATTGCTGTATTAAGAGCGTACGTTAAGCGATCCCGAGGTGAAACTTGCCGCCACCGTGCAAGTGAGCGTAATGAATAATAACATTTGTATAACAAGCTAGAATTAACTTAAACCTTTTATACGTTTATCCATATAATAGATTTTGGTATGGTTTAGCAATGTCGTGAATATCTAATTTGAATGATATTGGTGCGGGAGATTGAAGAAGTGAATTCTTTTACTACCTTGAAATCTATTTCAGTAGAGATTTAATAATGAATCACGAAAGAAACAGGAACCTAAGAACGCAAAAAAATAATAACTTAATGATCTAAAGATAAAATGATAAAAAAAACCAAATTTACACATTAATACATACGAGGGAGTTCAACTGTGAATTTGATCACTTTCTTATTATCGTAATGGTATGGAAAATAAATGCATTTCATTGTGGAATAGGAACACAAAGTTATTTCTCTTGATAGTAGAGTTAGTCACCATATGTCCCTTACATCAAGCGTGGAAAATAAAAAACGGTCCCAGTCTTGGAAAACCGCGAACATGGGTCTGCAAAAAATTGTCAGCTTTACGGGATATTTGCTGAAATATATTTTTAAAAACCACAGATTCTAAAAATGACATTCAGAACATTTTATGACGTATTATTATGTTTAAATGAAAGCAAACACTTTTAATAAAAATTGTTATTTTTTACAGTGAAAAGTTGAGAGTAAATATATTTTCTTACAAGTAATGAAAACCTTGTTTTTGATATTAATACACAATCTTAGGTGTACTATTTATTCTTGTAAAATCTTTTCTCTTCATCTTTTGAATTTAATAATTCTCCGAACTCTTTTCCGGTTTTCTTCTTTGGTTTCTCTATTGAACATCCAACAGTACTCAGTTAACATATTGACATCCATTTTCCTTGAACACGTTTCTCAAAATCACGAACATCCTGGTTGTTATGTTTGGTAAATGAAAGTTTGTTTCTTTTAAACAAGCTTTTCTTTTGGTCTCCTCTTTACATTGGGAACAATTACATCAAACATTTTTCCGAAGCAATAAACTTCTGATGTAGGGGCACGACTCATCTCTCGTCTTGCCCGGCCGTCACCTCCGGCCTCTAGCGATCAGTTGCCCTCCGCTGCAGAACTGCCTCGCCCAGCCTCACCGACGCCGCCGTTGCAAGGGCCACGATCTCATTTGGGCCGTCCCCGTTGTGGGCAGTGGGCGACTCTCCCGTGGGCGACTCTCCCGCCTCCGGCCACGAAATAAAAACTAAAATTCAACCATACTGCACGGCACAAAATTGACGTATATTATGAATAAATGCATATTATTCTTAGATCCCCAACAGTACGCAGTTACCATTGTTTATTGTTATAATACAGGGTGCGCCAGAGAAACTTACTTATTTGAAAAAATTCCCGCGCGGTGAGTATATTATATACCGTTAGAAAAGAAGCTCTCGACTGCGAAGGCCCGCTGCTCTCTAGTCCACAGCACGATGGCAACTGACTGGAAGGAGAAAAAAAACTTGGGAACTTCCCCCTCCAGAAACGCCCCCTCTCGCCCCTCTAACCACCCAACTCACCGCGCGGGAATTTTTTCAAATAAGTAAGTTTCTCTGGCGCACCTGTACAATTTTTAACCTTCAACCGTTTGTTAATGGCGCCTTCACTCACTTGCACTGATGGTGTCAATATTGCTACCAACAAGTAACCAAACAATTATCAAATACAATTGGCAAATGTAAAACAGCCAACTTCAGTACGGATACGATTCACGTGTTCGAAGTAAATGGTAAACAATTTTATTAGTTATTACCCGACAAAAATTGGAAGTGAATCCACGCACTGGGTCTTAAGAGAGACTTATTTCTACCGGTAAACATAAGAATTTAATGCACTTAAAATTAATGCGTACCATTATTACAGTTGCAAATGCACGTATTGCACCAACCCTGAGAAAGTTTACTTCAATGGAAGATGATTACACTCCGTGCGTTAGTGGGTCAAATTGTTAGTAAAGTTAAATACTCACAAATCAATGCAAGAATAACAAACTTGGATGGAAAATTACTTTTATTTGCTTAAACCTATCGAAAGGAATTTTTAGCAATCTTTACTCGGGCTTTCCGAACTAAAAACTGTCTTAAATTACAGCAAAAAAATACTTTCAAATGAAACAAAAATTTCGAGACTTCATTTACATTGTTAACGCCTGCATCTGTACCCAATCTCTTTACTATGAATTAATTACAATAAGAGTAAATGTCGACATTTTGCCTTAATTCTACTTAGATTGTTACTTTATTCTGCAAATTTTTTACACAAGCTCATCTTAGACACGATCGAGACTGATTTAGAGAAATTGTCGATCTGAAGATTTGAGTTATTTGTGCAACTCTATATTAAAATTACGTTCATACCAGAATAATTTCATTTAGTGAAAATTGCCATCCACTTTACAACAAAATATCTTGTGTGCATTATGAAAAGGAGGTAAAAAGGTTTTCGGACAAGGGAGGAAATAAAAACTTAGGGAAATAGTTGAATTATTTATTTAAAACTTTTATAAAATATAATTTCGAGAGCATGCCCTTGTTAAAATGTTTGCTTAAATAACAAAATATATGGTAAATGCATTTTCTAAAATAAGTAATTCATTGTTGCTTTGGTTTGGTGTACATTTCAGTTTCTTCGCCCATGTACGTAATTGGAATACCGCATTCACAGCCAAGTAAACCACAACACACCTGCAACAAATGTCAACAAGGCATTGGATTTGTTAAATAGACTGCACTATCAACGAGAGAAGGGATATTGATTAGCGCCTATTACCAATATAAATTCATTGTTCACCACTTTGTTGAAATAGTTCAACCATAAAATTATCGTTATTTGCCTTCGTGGCGATATTTTTAAAAAGTAAATTAGATTAAAAGAAAGAAAGAAAGGGTCATGAAGGGAACAATACTTTAAACAGCGCGGTCTATCACACACGATAAACTTAAACATTTGAGAACCATCACTTAATAATTTAATATTCTCTTAGCATTGAAGAATGTGCTGAAATCTACAAATCATTAAGAGACGAGACCAAAGGCCAAGGCGAGGATGAAAGTGACAGTTTGGATAAAAGCCACCCATATTCCCGAACATCATTCTACAAAATAAATGACAAGGAAATTACCAAATCTCCGTGTTTCACAAGCAATCAACAATTAGACAACTAATAATAGAATCCAATCAAGACCATATTCAAGATTTCAGAAAATTTCTATATACTCCCAGAATCCCAGCTACTCAATCTAGGTTAAACATTGAGACAACCCCACATAATCTACTCTCTTTACCTTTAAGACATTTTCAAGCTTCCTTAACCATCTAAAAATATAATCTCTCTCGCGTTCATAAAACTTGGCAACAGTACAAATTAAATTTTTCCACGTTCATAGTACCTGTAAAAATCTAACTTATACCGGAAGTGTCTTGACACCGACACCCGAGGATGAATCAACGTGTACTTTAACTTTTATCAACAACCTTGAAAAGCAAAAATGCGGAGCAAGGAATAGAATAAAAAGCTTAAGTCCGAAAATAAATCAACGAATTTATTGAGCAGACTAATCCCAGTAACAAACTGCTGCTATTACAATAACAATTTCTTCTTTCGGAGGTCAGGATGAATAAAGTTAATTAGGCGGAGAATGACAGCCCAATAATTAATTTCAAAATTGTTGTTTTGGTATTCTACGATTTTTATTAAATGAAAAATTAATACACCGATTTGATCAATTTGTATCTTATTTTAATGCCCAAAGCATCTTATATACGTGATTTAACTTACGCTCGGACTTGTTCAGTTTTCTTGATTTTCTTATTGAATTGAACAATGCATTTATTATCGTAATCCATCAATAATCCATGATAGACTGCATTAACCATTAAGAAAACATTACGAACATAAACATATGCCGGGAGAGAGTCTAAAAACTACTAATTTTAGAATTAGGAAATTTTCCATCATGTGGAGAGTGGGAAGTACTAACCGAGGCCACATTAAAAACCACTTTGCCAATATTACACTAAAGACACGCTCACAACGGAGCCGCCCGCCACGCCGGACTCCATGGCCAACGACACGCCCACGGCGAAGGCCGTCTCACCGGCCTCCGCTCCAGGTGACCAGCCCATGGGGGAGCCGGTCTCCTCGCCCGGCTTAGCGACCAACATAGTGAAACCCCCTCCACACCGCCCATCACATGGAGGAGCCGGTCCCCATGCCGGCCTCCACGGAGAACGACACGCCCACGGCGAAGGCCACCACATCGGAGTCCGCTCCCGGCGGGGGAGCGGCCTCCACGCCCATTCGCGACGTGCCAACGCCGCTGGCCCTGAACGCTTGACCCCGGACTCCTAAACCACCACGACCACCACGACCACCACGACCACCACGACCACCACGACCACCACGACCACCACGACCACCACGACCCTTTTAAAACCCGATTATCCTTGGGGTGTTCTTTACTTGCCAGGTTCTCGAAAGGTAAACAATTGACTAAGGTAAAAGAATGCTTACCTCCTCGGCCCGTGGTGCACACGCGAAGACGCGCGCAACTTCCCTGGCGCCTCGGGAAATCGTCCTGTCCACGCACAGAAGAGGCGCCGGCCACAATCCGAAGATGGACACCACAGGAGCAGTGACCAGACGAACGCCCTTTTCCACCACCCTCAAGGCGCAGCCGGTTACTCTGTTGGCCTTCGCAGCCCCGTAGGTGCGTTGCGCGCAGTGCCCCAGAGTCGACTGCGACAGGTAGTTGACCGTTTCGAAAGGAGATTGAGAACGGCTGGGTGCGCCTGTAGTTTGACAGGGCGGAGCGCCGTTTAGGGGTCTTTGCGGGGGAGGAGCGTAGTACTGTATTGGCATGTAACGGCCGAATTGGCAATGCACCGAGCCTGGATGAGTGGGTGCGCAGGTCTGCCACCCGTTGCCCTTGTTAGGGGCTAATGATTCATTACGTTCGGCCAGAGAGGATTGCTGCTCATCTTTGACGGAGTTTTTTGAAAGTGCAGAACCGTTGCAATCTAGCATGGTTTGTTTCTGTTCAATTTGAGCATCTAATCCACTCGCAGTTTTAACTACTTCGATCGGTGTTCCTGTGCTATTCTTTAAAGTATCTACTGATTTTTGTTGGTTTTGCGTATCCGCAGAGCCCTCAATTTTTGATCTTTCGGCGTCTCCAGAATTTATTTCGCCAACCGTTTCTTTAGAAGAATCACCGACCTTCAAAACCATTTCAGCGTCCTTTTGACACGCTTGTGAATTGTTTGTTATAGTTAAATCATCTTCAGTCTTCAATGTATCAGAATGTTCTGACGATGTTGCTTCCACTGCAACCGGGGCCCCTTTGCTCTCCTCGAGGTCTTTAGCGTGTCCCGTGGCAGAAGAGGGCGTGTCCCGAATGCCGTCTTCGGGAGCGGGGGCGTCCGCTGGTGGAGCGTCCACGCCGCCGGCAGGGTCGGGGGCGTGGTCGTGGTAGTGTTCCGACTGGGCGGCGGGCGTGTTATAGGAGTCCTCCGCTTCGCCCGGGGTCCCTTGCTGCACGCGCGTGGACGCGTTCAGGGCCAGCGGCGTGGGCTGGGCGCTGGTGGGCGTGGCGGGCGCGGAGGCCGGCTCCGCCAAGGGCTGGTCGCTGGCGGCGGAGGCCGGGGTGAGCTGCGGCTCCGTCGCGGGCGTGTTGGCAGGGGCTGCGGGCGTGGAGGCCAGCTCCACGGTGGGCGTGTCGGTGATCGCGGAGGTGGGCGTGGTGGGCGTGGTGGGGACGGAGGCGTCGGGCGAGCGCGGGGAGGCCGCGTCGCTGGACGGAGACGCCACGTCGCTGGGCGATCGCTCCCGCTCCTCGTTCAGCCGCTCTTCCTCCAGAAGCTTCGCGTTCTGTGTTCCTGCGGACAAAATGCGCACTCCTTAATTCACGGCCCATTTTGATAGGATTTCAAAGGTATGTGAAAAAAGTGTGAGCCAGACAACTTTTTCGTAAAATTATATAGTAAATATGTAACTTATTTTTAAAATGCCCCTCATAAGAAATCTTTTTACATCCATGAGAACATGGAGAACGACAACCCGATCTCACACGTGTGATTGCGTCTTGTATGATGCAACAATACGCAGTTCACTTCACGCGTGTCGTAGTTCAGGGTGAGTCTCCAGCCTTCAACCGGCGTGATTGTAATAAAACTTTTCGACTCATTTTCAACGCAATTTGTACTGAAGTATTTGCTGGCGGATAATTTTACGAAATAAAATCCTAGTAAATTTACAAAAATCAACGCGAAACTTCACAAGAAAGCCAATAAGATTGTAACCTTAATGAGAAATCCTTTAAGACTCTTGCAACATCTCCAAATTCCATTCAACCTAATTTTCATCGCATTGTTATTCTGACTTCGTGCACAATATTGTATGGATATTATAGTAAGTTTGAACTCGCCGCTTCCTTGAAACAAACTTCGCAGATTAAACAGCCTCACCATGTGCATTTAAACTATTGACCATAAATTTCTGCGAATTTCCTCGTTCGTCTTATTAAAGTTTCCGTTCCCCGATCGCGCAGTGTCGAGAGTATTCTTGTTCGAGGGTAAAAAATAATTTGTATTATAATAAATGTAATCTAACGGTAGTTAATTAGCACACTTTTGCAATAATTTTATTAAATTGTAGTCAAGTTACACTAAAATAAAGAGAAACGAGTGACCTTAGTCGAAATTTTTGTGAGCGTTTTCATCATATCTCTATATACCTGTTAACACCACTACATGTCAATTGACCCTTTCAAAATCAAATGACAGTCCATAGGTAGTAAAACCTGCTGCTCTTATATTTGTCAAACCCAGCGTCTTAACATTACATGGCTCAAATTATCTTCGGAAAACTATATATTGGTTTTCTTCAGGCTCGAAATGCCTATTCCCACTCACACTAGCATTACTTGAAATAAGAATGAATAATAGCAACGAGCGTTATTAACAAAGCCTAATATCCATAAATGTTCACTACTACAATATTTTGTAGAAAAACTAGCTACACGTTTGATATACTACTGCCACCAAAATAAAATATCTCGCCCACTTTCTTCCTTTCTGTCGAAACGAAGGCTTAAGAAACCTGCGCAGATAATAGATACAGAGACTGAGAAATAACTTTCCCAATTATTTGTGTGTAGCAACCTTCATAATTTAAGAATGAAAAGCTCTAAACCTTTTACATTATTATCATTGAACCTTCACAACACTAAAACAAAAACCCATCAAGTGCCATTGTTTACTGTAGTCAGACCATTTCCAAAAATACTGTGGCCACGAGTTCCTACAAGTCTGAGACAATTGATTAGTACTAGGAAAATTACTACACATTAACACAAAATCTGTCTCTAAAACGTCAAGAATCGCATACTTACTCCACCGACCCAACATTCTCTAAACAGGTTGAAACCGAGAAGGAACTGCAAGTGCCCGACGGCCAACTGATCCAGAGTCACTGGCCAGCTCATGAGTTTTAGATCCGCTAGTTGAGGGGTGTACACTCGCAACCTTGCTTGAGTTGCAGCCAATAGCAGAAGCAATTGGGAAGTCACTGAATTGTCACAGAGATTTATTAAAATAGGATAGCATAGTTTTCTATTGATTCAACTCTATTATTTATATTTACATTTATATTATATACGTGTTAGCATGCAAACTTTTTACGTATTCTTAGATATATGCTTTTCGTGAAAATGTTCATAAGCCACACATTATACTTCACGTAAACGCACTGAGATATAATAAAGTGCTTGACTATTATTTACCTGCTCTCATATCATCGTCATTTATCCATTTAGCAATCTTATTCCCTTCAGTTCTCTTTCAACTTACGAACTTCCCAAAAGAAAATAATGTATATTTAGCATTCTATGCCTTAAATTTCAATGATGTACTAGTTTCCAAAATTATTTTATGTAAGTAATGCTTCTTGTCATAATCTTAACATAATTCGAAATATTTTCAAATTGAATGAATAATTTCCAACCAAAATGAAAACTTCATAGTTGTGTATCAGGATGCCAAAAATAGTGCATTTAAATCCTTCCCATTAAAAAATTAAAAACATTTCTTTAAAAATACTTATTTAGCATATTTTGTTAATTGTATATGATTAATATTATGATTTATTCTTTACTTTTTGGCACTCTGTTTGTACTGCCTACACCATGATTTCTAATATTATGTAGAAACTACAGTGGACAGAGTTGTTCAATAAATTATTTCTTCATTTTCATGTACATTTTATTCATCCTCTTAGTTCCTCATTTTATTCATCCTCACAGTTCTTATTTTCATGAAATAATTGAAGACTTCTGAAAAACATGCAGTGATAACTCACATTTCGCATAACCAAAATAAATATATTATAATTTATCCAAAAATTGAATATTATAATCTAAATGTGGAACAAATTTATTCATAGAACTATAGAATGTGTACTATACAAAGAAGGAAGAAGTGTTTACAGGAAATGATACATATCTGGATTTATATTTTTGTTGCTATGTCTCAGGCTAAGATAAATTACCAAAATGTGATTTCACACTTTAATGTCCGGTCTTCCGTTCTATTTTTAAAATGTATTTTCACTTTGTGACCCTGTTCTTATAATGCTGATGAGTTATTTTGAATAAATGAAATTTATTAAATAATTTCTGATTGACTCTGAAAGATATTACATATACTTGATATTTAATCACAAATATAGTTTTGTTTTTTCATTACATTATATTCACAAGTATTAAAATATTACTTTTGTAAGAAATTTCGATTCAGTTTTCTGGGTTCAAAAATATTTTTTTAAATGTGATGGTAAATAATAATATAATTTTTTAATTGTAATATAATAATTTTCGTAGTAAAAAAATAGTGAATAATAGTTTTTTGTTGACTCAAGAATGATTTCATTAATTTCCAGATTGTCATATTATTATTGCAATATTATATTATGCCATTTGTAAAAACGATTTTCCGAATTTTATAGAGGTTCTTGTACACTCTCTCAAGACAAAATAAAATTATTAGAACGAATTAAACCCAAAATCATATCAAATTCTTTTAAAAGCTTGGAAACATTAATTAATTATTTCACACAAAAATAGCCTCAGTGCACATCAGCACAGGAATGGATATCTAACTTTCTCCCATAAACTCTCAAGGTATATTAATAGGCTGATTCAGGCCCACTGAGGCTCGAATATGAGTAATCACATTATTAAAATCATTGCTGATAAAAAATCTAGTAATACTGCGGAATGACACAGACTCGTGTCACTCACACTTAACTTTTCTAATTTACTTGGTGTGCGCTAGCTCCACGGCATTAACTTCATTTGCAGCACTTTTACTCACAAACGCAAAATTGTATAGAAATTTGCTGGAATTGTATATAATAACGGCGTGAAAAACATTTAAAAAATATTACATTTGGGTGATTTTTGGAAAAGCAAAAGAATATAATAAAATGGCGTTTATGTCATCTCATGGAATGCATTTAGCACTAACCCTACTAACTGTGTAAAGAAAAAATTGAGCCTTTTTTTTTAGAAAAGCTTGTTTGGGTATTTTTTAATTGCACAAATTCCACGCAATATTGCACCAAAACAACTAAAAGTATAAAAAAGGTCATGGCAGTGATGAAAGAACTAATTATGAAAAACAAATTTCATTTGAAGGAAATGTCACTATCTTCAACTTTGTACTTGTAGGTTGTCGCCCCAAAAATTAAAACTTCTTCAAATTCAAAAATTCTGAGTTAACAGTGAAAATCGGACCCATATCACCTTTAAAAGTGTATTTTTTCCTATTATTACAAGAAATTTTCAAAAAAGTGCCGAGAAATTTCTAAGAAAAGTTTGAAAAGTTTCTTGTACTGTACACCTATCTTTTAAAGAATGAATTTCTAAATCCCTGCGCTTTGAGTCAAGCCAGATCAAGACGGGGATTATGAATTTGTAAAAAAATCCTACTTATGGTTTAGGCGCTGGTGGTGTTCACAGACGGACAGACAGATGGACAGGCATACTGACGAAAATTTGGAAGAAAAACAAACACTTCCGAACCAGAGGATCCCAAAACTTGTATTTTCGTTGAATTCTCGAAATCGATTTTCCGCAGCATTTTACTACTTTCTCGATACCACGTATATTTCTCCGCATATACGTATTAATACGAGAAAGTAAAATTGATCAACAAACTCTGAGAGAGCTTAATGATGGGTTACCATGATTCTTGAAAAAAAAAATTCTCGAAACATTAAAGCACAAGAAAAATTACTCATCTCAAAAATCTGTATTCTTTAGTTATGTCAAGAAATATGATTAGAAAATACCATGATTTGACTAGTAAAAATTTCATAGAGAGAGTTTCCAAAGTAGTGTAGAACACTTTGACTTTGGCCTCCAAAAAACGGGTTCGCTCAAGGTAAAATTGTTTTCTTGCAAAATAACAATTGTTAGAAGAGTAATGTTTCTTGTGCACCAAAGAAAATTAAAATCAATATCTAAAATGCGTAATTTGAAGTTAGAACCAGAACATTATTGAACTGCCGGTGAATTTTTTTCAATGTGAGTATTTTTCACGATTATCATCACATTTAAGCCAAATTGCTGAATAAAGAAAAATCAAAATAAGGAAATAAGGAAAAATCAACTTGTTAGGCCTGCTTTCCCGTATACGTACGTATATACGAAGAATTATACGTAGTATAGAGAAAGTCATGAAATGCTGCGGAAAATCGATTTTCAGATTTCAACGGAATACGTGTTGGGGTCCCCTGATACCAAAAAAGTGTATTTTTTTTCAAAACGTTCATGCGTCTGTCTGTCCGTGTGTCTATCTGTCTGTATGCCAGTCTGTGAACACTAGTAACGCCTAAACCATACGTACAATTTTTTCTAAAATGGGATAATCCCCGTTCGATCTGGCTTCATTTGAGGCGCCCCGATTTTGAAAAACTTTCTTTAAAATTTACGGATACTTCACATGAAGCCCCCGGACATTTTCAAAAATTTCTCAGAAACTGCTTCAAATTTTTTCTTCAACTTCTTCCAAGAATAAAGTAAAGGTGGCATAGGTCCAATTCTCGCGTATAACTCATTTCGATAATAACAAACTCAGACTTTCTCACCTATCTCTTTCAGCCCACAACGCGCCATGAGTTGACTGAGAAATGTCTTTACTCTCTGCTATAATGAGGAAGTCAGGAAATATCGGTAATATTTCACGATTGTACAGCATCCTTTTGAAACGCCCTCGTCTTACACCATCGTTGGAGTTTTTGAAGTTGCGTCCGTACAAATAGATTCTTCAAGGTAAGTGGAATAGGTTGCAAGAGATTTGAAATTCTCGAGTTTTAATTACTTATTTGAAATACATTTTTAGATACTAAACCAGGGCATTGAGAACATTATTTTAATTTTTTCCTATGTCGTTTCCAGCCGACAGTCAGGTACCCTTTACGTCCTGTTGGGTCGCATATTCGACCATACTAGTCACCAACACACTTGCGAGGCTCTCCGCAACAACATACATGAGAGACAAGGGACAAACAACAATGCCCGAGACGGGACTCGGACCCGTGATCCTTTGGACCGAAGCGGGGAGTCAGTACACGCTCTTAGCCACCTCGGACATCCATGTCGAATCATTAAAAATTTTAATTCTCATAATGTTATGAAGAATTTATCTAAATCCCATTCAGAAGTGTTTTGAATGCACCCACACATTGTTGGGCTATCATCTTGCATTGTATATTTTTTTATCGAAAATGTGTTCATAAATTACGGATATGTCGTTTATGTATCAATGGTTCAATTATTCATTTATTTCCATTGGAAATATAAATAAAATATGCAAAATGACTCATAACGCAAAATGATTGTTTTCTAGAAAATAAGTTGGGTGGCCGAGATTTGCTTTTATTTAAATAGAGGAGGGGAATTTAAATAGAGCATGCAACATTTTAGTTCTGTATTTTCAAATTGGATGCTTAAGCAGTTAAAAATGCAAAACTTTTTTAATCAGGCAACACAAATTAGTAATAAAGATGACTTTTTCGTTATATTATTACATTCAAAGAACTATGAGTGAAAACATTAAGATTAAAGCGACATTCATGATAAAATTTCTTTCAAAATTGAGTTTTTCAGCCGCCTTATTATGTGACTTCACAAGTTGCTGACATTTGTACTTATCTCTGCTGAAACTAACAGCAAATAATTTGTTTGCAGCTAATGAACCAGTTTTTGTTTCACAAATTGTAAAACCACTCTGAAGACAACTGTACTGGAAACAAAAAGAGTCACAAGTGTGTCATTACATGTTATTTCAATTAATTATTTTATAACTAATAATCATTTTGTTTTTGGATTGAAAACGTAAGGTGAAAACCGTTAATTACTTTTCACCCCCTGCTTGAATTCAGGTGATCTTCTTCTTCTTCTTGCCAGTGTTTTACAGCTCTTGTGGCCGTTTCTCGCATCCCAACCTCCATACCACTCT